ACCGCGGGGCTGAGCCCCAGCCGGTGCCAACAAGGCTCAGGGACGGGGGAAGAGCCGAAAGAGCCAGAGGCTGGGGAGGAGCAGGCACATCATGCCGTTAAGTCTGGGACTGCGGGGCCAGGCTGGTGACCTTCCCCACCGACTGAGGTTTGGTGGCTCCCCGGCACTCGTGGGGCTAGGCAGATGTTAAGTCACAAAGCCCAGAATTCCCTCGGATTGGACTGAGTGAACATCCCTCTTCTACATCTGATGCTGCTTTCCGGTCTAGCTCAAGTTTCCTTTGTTTGAAACCAACTGGCCATTTCTCTCCATTTATGGCCACCACCTGGTCCCAGACCACCATCATCACTCACCAGGACAGCTACAGTCACCTTCTCCCTGGTTCCCCTACTCCCAGTATCGCTCTCCTGAAATCCATTCCCCACTCTGCACCCTGGGTTATCTGTCTACAGTGCAGAAATGACTATGCCACTCCCTGCCTAGAAGCCTTCAGTGCTCTCAGGAGCAAGGCCAGCTCCTCACCAGGATCCAGATCCTCTCCTCCCACCCTCCCCTCCCCCTCACAGACTCCAGCCATGCAGACCTCCTTCCGATTTCTCCAACGTGCTGGGCAAACGTCCACCTCAAGACATCACCCCAGCCGTTCCCGCCACTTGGAAATCTCTGCTCCTTTTCCTGCCTTCACTTTGTCCAATTCACTGGTTCTCAAATTGTGGTCCCCAGACCAGCAGCATCAGCATCACTTGGGAGCTTGTTAGAAATGCATCTTCTCATTCACAGTGTATATGTATATCAAGTCATCACACGGTACACTTCAAATACATACAATTTTATTTGTCAATTGTTCCTCAATAAAATTTGGGGGAAGAAAGAAATATAGTCACTGGCCTCAGCCCACCCCACCTGAATCGAAGACTGTGAGTGGCCACCAACCAGCATCTTAACAGGTTCTCCAAGTGATGCTGATATATGCTCAAATGAAGAACCACTGGTCTAATTAAGTCTTGTCTATCCTTCAGAGTGGAAAGTTTAGACTTTAACTGAAATGCTACTTCCTCTAGGAAGCCTTCCTTGACTCCCAGATCAGGGCCTCAGGTCACCCTATACCTCTCCTTTATAGCAATTCCCACAACCGTAATCACACGATTAATTATGTAATTCATCGGAAGTCTTTCTCTTGCACTAGAATATGTGCTCCATGGGCCCAGGAAATACATTTTTCACCAACCTACCCCCAGCACTTAGAACTGTGCCTGGCACGTAATAAGTGCTCAATAAATACACATGCAGTGAATAATTAATGGCATAAGCAAAGCCCTCCTCTTCCAGCCCTTCCCGCGGCAAACATTTATATTTACTAGTATGCCCATACTAGGCCCGGTGCTGAAACAAGAAAAGACAGTCCCTACCTCCAAGAAGCTAACTGCCAAAAGGGGAAATAAACATGGGTACAAATCAACTGAGTTGGGTCTTCAAACAGGGATGGACAGTTGCCAGGCGGAGAAGTCAGGAAAAGTCTTACAGGCAGGAGGAACAGCATGTGCAAAATTCACAGCGAGATGGAACAATGCAGGGCGTTGAGAGGATGGAAGGTGTTGCAGAGCATGAGGCTGGAGAGTCAGACTGAGGCGTCACTGGGTGACAACTAGGCTAAAGAGTTTGGATTTTATTGTATGGATGGGCACCGAGGGACCACTGAATAATTTCAATCAGACAAGTCACCTGATCTTTTATTTTTTAAATCAAATAGAGTTTGGGAAACCAAGAAGGATGGATTCATTTATCCATTTATTCCCAAAATATATATTGAGCTTGGCCATGTGCTGGGCAGAGCAGGCGTGATCACAGGAACTGGCAGTCCATCCTTCCATCCACCCTCTCTTTGCCTCTTTTCCATAAGCAGGAGATCATAGCCACCACCACCTCCTACCAGTTTCTTGCCTTTGATACTGTCCTGGGCCCCTTCCTGCAGCCTCCGGGGACAACAGAGGTACCCACAGCCCCTGGCTCTCAGGTTTCTGCGGGGGATTCTGAAAAGTTCTTCCCGGGGAGGGAGGCAGCCAACAGGAACTGCAGGGGACAATGGGTGCCTTTGTTGCTTCTGCCAGGGCCGCTCCAAGAATAGCTGTTTGCTCAGCTCCAAGCAGGGCTGGTGCTGGGGTAGTAAGTGGGTGCGGGGCTCCAGTGTGGGCCAGGCATTAACCCCCTGGGCCTCTGGGGCCTCCTCCAGTTTCTTACTGGCCTGGAGGAAGGAAAGTGGCAGGAAGCATCACTTACATCACTATTCACAAAGTCCAGGTCCCAAACAATCATCCTGTCCTGTGAGTTTGTAAAGCATTTTTTTCTAAACAGAATTGTATGCAGAAACCCAATATATAAAACCACATAAAATAAGCATGGCTCTAGGGGGGGTGTCCAGCAGAGAGAGCCCCAGATTTTCAGCACCTTCTCCCCACCCCTTTGCCCAGAACCTGCCCCCTCTGTGCTCTACAGATTCCAGCTACCTCTGACCTGGTCCAATCCTCTCATTTGGTACTTGATGATACGGAGAGAGGAGAAGCCTCTTGCCCAAGGCCACCAAGCAGGTTGATGGTCAAAGCCAAGACTTGGCCTAGAGAATTGTTCCCCAAACCTGAGTCAACAATTGCCTGGGCTCTGCTGATTTTTACCAAAACCTTATTCCACTTGTGATATTATTAACATTTTTCTTTAAATCAACTCACATTTTTCTCCTAATTCTGTTTTAAATGGATATCTTACATCCTTACCATAAATGGCAAGTCTTTATTAGTTACTATAAAAAAATAACACATTTAATAAACACATAAATCTGTTAAACTGTTTGTCCATGTGAACCTAAAAACATCTTAATGTGTGCCCACTCTCACCTTTGGGAAATGCTGCCTGGTGCTCAGCTCCACACTCAAGTCTCCCTCAGCAAGTCAGTGACAAATTGGGTTCGAACCTAGATCTTCTGCACATGTACCGTCTAATCCAGGGTTTTTGCTTCTCTTATTAATGGTTGTGAACAGAGGGCAGCAGGCCATAGCCAACAAGTGTCCAGCCTCAGATGAGCCCAGGTTCCCTGAGATAGACTGAGGGGCTTAGAAGGGGGAAGGGAAGATGGACAATCATTTGAAAGGCCCTGAGCTTGTTTATGGAGCTCCTTTCCTAGCACTGGGCATGAGCTGCTGGATACTTCTTCTCCTGCCAATGCCTGGGACCAGTGGCCTTTGCCAGTGGCCCCTGCAGTTTGAGATCCCAACTGGTGGCCTCAACAGACTCATCCTCACGGCCTGGGCCACCCCAGGGCTTGAAGTACCAGACTGTGCTGTGGAACATCTAGACCTCTGGGCCAGCAGCATCAGCAGTTCTCAGAAACATCACAGAAATGCAAATCCTCAGACCCTACCCCCAGACCTACTGAATCTGAAGCTCTGGGGAGGGACCCAGCCATCAGTGTCGTGACAAGCCCTCCAGGTGACGCTGTTCCTGCTGCTGACCTTTGACAGCCACTGGTCCAAACCTCTCATTCAACCCTGGCCACCGTTCACATCTTCAGCTGCCCCAGCCACACCTCAGTCCTGCCAGCCAGACTCTCTGGGGATGGGCGTCACAAAGCTGTAGCCTTAAAATAAACCCTGAAGATTTAAGCAGCATCCCTGAGGATTCCGATGCCCAACCATAGTGGAGAATTATTCTGGAACCCAGGAGCACCAGGCTCTCAAAATAGAGGATATGCCTTTGAGGCAGACACTTGTACCTATGTCTTAGTCCCAAATCCCATGAGAATCCCACCTAAATCCCTCTGAGCCCTCTTTGGGAACCTTCAGACTATGGGCTGGATTTAGCAAAACCATCAGCCTTGGGCACCTTCCTCTCCTGGTATCCCTGTGCTTCCTATTGCCTCCCGTTAAGCCAGTGTCTTAGGCGGCTTGAGCAGCTATAACAAAATAACATAGGTTGGGCGACTTAAAAGCAGAAATTGATTTCTCACAGCACTGGAGGCTGGAAGTCTGCAATCAGGGTGACAGTATGATCAGGTTCTGGTGAGGGCTCTCTCTTTGGCTTGCAGCCAGCCTCCTTCTCGCTGTGTGCTCACATGGGCTTCCTCGGTGTGCATGGAGATATTTTCTCTCTCTCTCTCTCTCTCTCTCTCTCTCTCTCTCCCCCTCTCTCCTTATAAGACAACGAGTCTATCGGATTAGGACCTCACTCTCGTGACTCATTTAACCTTAATCATCTTCTAAAAACCCTATCTTCAAATACAGTCACATTGGGGGTTAGGGCTTTAATGCATGAGTTTAGGGGAAGACAAACAGTCCATTGCAATCAGATCAAACCAGTTAGTTTCCTGCACTGTTAGATTTTCAAGAATTCCAGAAGTGTTTCCTTTCTGGAACCCCAAGGAATGACTCTCAAAGTATGGAACTCCAAGCCATGACAGCTATGACAGGGAAGAGGGATCTTTGTGCCAGGGCCAGTCCACCCGTGCCCCTCTAGAACCCGAGTCCCAGGTTCCATCCCTGTGCAAACCCAGCACTTTGACGACCGCCTCCTGGTCTCCAGCCGAGTTTTCCTGGCCTCCAGGCAAGACACTGGACAGGGGTTGGGGGACAGAGTTCTAGTCCTAGTGCTGCCTTTGGAGCAAACTCATTCCTCTGTCTGGGCCCCAGTCATCCCCCCCTTACGGTACCACGTGGCTCCCAAAGCTGACTGCCCATCAGAAGCACAAGGGAGCCCGTTAAGAATTCAGATCTCCCAGCCCCACTCAAACATTCTGACTCAGTAGGTACCAGACTGGCTCAGGAATCTGTATTTTTAATGAGTACCCTCCTCATTACCAGATGATTGCGGTGCAGCTGGGTCCTTTCGGGTCCCCCAGACCAGATGATCTAGGAGAGTCCTTTCAGCCTCGCCCCTCCAGCAGTCTCCTCCTGAAGCCCCTTGTCCCACTTGTCCCAAGAATCCCCACGATCCGCTCTCTTTTCTCCCTACAGTGCAGCCCCAGCTGGGGCCCAAACCTTCAGCCTGAAGCACTCGGAGCACGTGCAGGTGGAGGTGGTGTGTGATGGGCAGGCCGAGGAGGTGGTCACCAGTGGCAAAAGACGCTGGCCTCTGTCTCCCAGCACCACACTGCGGCTCACCATGAACCAGGCGAGCACCGAGGCCAGCAGTGACAAGGTACCATGGCTGAGGAAGTCCACCTCCACAGGCCACCAGAACAAGGGGCCATGGAATCAAGACAGGCTAGCACTGTCCAATAGAAACAGAATGTGAGCCACATGTGTCATTTTCAATTTTCCAGAAGCCACATTAAAAGAGGAAAAGAAACAGGTGGACTTAATTTTAATAATATATTTTACTTAACTCTATACATCAAAATATTATCATTTCGATATGATATCAGCACAAAAAAAATTAATGAGATGTCTTACTCACTATTTTCATACCAAGGCTAAATCTGCTGTGCATTTCATACTTACAGCATATCTCGATTTGGACTCGCCACATTTCAAGTGCTTAATAATCACCTCCAGCTCGTAGCTATTATATAAGACGGCTCAGTGTTAGACCACAGGATGATAGTTTCGTGGAAGTTTAAAATTGTGAGCTGCTGAATGATGAAATATTAGAATCATTGGAAGTTAAAGCCACAAACATCCTGGTTTTCATTGTGTATAAATGGGGTGCTGGGCGCCCATGCAGCAGATTGATTTGCCCAAGTGGTACAGCCAACACTAGACTCTCTCTTCACTGGGTTCTCTAATTATGAACTTCGCATGCTCCGTGGCAGTGACGGTGCTGGGCATCATTAGTCAAAGGAAACAACCTCAGCCCCACTCGCTAGTTACTTACTGGGAGCTAGATATACACTTTGGCAGATATAGGGACCCCCCACACACAGGCAGTAGAATACACAAGGGGGCACTGGTAGGCAGATGGTACCCTGAATACATTCTGAAAGGAGGGGAGTCCCCTATCTAGTTCAATAATCTGAGGAAAGCAGCCTACCAACCCAGGAGTGCTTCCTGGAGGAGAGGGTTCAGTTGTTTAGCGAAAGTTGGCTTGACAGGCTGTGAGGTGTGAGGCAGGGAAGGTCATCACTGCAGATTTTCCTGCCTGTGATCTGTGATCTCTGCTCTTCTCTCCCTACCCCTGCACTCCCTCCCTACCAAGGTCACCGTGAACTACTACGAGCAGGAGGGGAACACTCCCATCGACCAGGCTGGGCTCTTCCTTACGGCCATTGGTGAGTTAACGAGGCTGTAGCCTGGGTATCCTCATCCCCCAGGGCCTGGCATTGCTGCCCTTCTCAATGGCACTTGGGCTGCTTTCAATGCTGCAGACCTGGCACTCAGAGCTTCCTCTAAATAATGCAGGACAGAAAGATTTAAACATCACGATAACATCACCTTCTGCACCTGGGCAAGGGTTAAGCAGCCTTGACTCCATGGGGGAAAGGGAAGAAATAAAAGATAATGAAAATGCCTAAAAAGAAAAAATAGTTGGGAAGGAAGAGAGAAGAAAGATTACAATTTGGAAGGTATTCTGGGCATTGATTTCATTATCTACTAGAAATAGACTGAAACGAAAGAAGATT